GGGATAGATAGGAAGAGAAATGGAGAGGAAGGGGGGGGGGAGAGGAAGAGAGATTGAGAGGAAGTTGTCCTATCCACCCATGTGGCAAGCTGTATGAAACCTGTCTACATGCTTCATACAGAACTCAGATTTAGGGAAGCACAGTGAATATTCTGGCACAGCTCTGGCATCTGCAGGGCACAAGATTATCATTTCACTGGCTGATTTAACTTCTTTCCTAGAATTTCTGTTAAAAGAGCCAAAGAGGGGGTTGCGTTTAAGGAGAACTCTGGCCATGGCCTTTTCACCTTGGACAGAGTGATGAAGGGTTAGACTGCTGTCTGTGACTGCTGTGGGGAGATCTGCCCTCACTTCCGTACCGCTTCATCGAGTGTGTAAGGGTGTCACCAGGACAGGAAGTGACTGGAAGTCTACGGAGCTGTGTCATAGATAAGAATAAAATGTAACAACAAATGTAATACAGTTACACATTTGCTCACGTTTAATAAGCAGAGAGGACAGAGTATGTTACGCTCTTATATACCTGACCTCTGTAATACTGATATACATACATAGAGTACTTTAAAATGAGCAGCTGCTGATAATAAAACCAATTATAACATATCCCTTTCCTCCACGCCATGACAGAGACATAAAAAACATGGAGTCTACAGCAGCCGCCTCCTCCATACTATGCTGGATGACAGCTCAGCTTACACATAGCATGATGGATTTCTGTATAAACCTGAGTTGGCTCCGACACGCTGGGGAGTGGTCACACACAAGAAGAATTCCCGTCCTTTACAGATGCAGGAAAACTATAAAACTCAGAGGATCACCGTGTGATATGAGTGACACTTCCTCAATATGGAACAAGAAGTGGATGCCACAAGAGCCATGTACTTTCACATGCTTGTGCAATGCTAGATGGCGGTTTGTGGGCATCTGGTTCTGTGCTATTTCTTGATTAAAGAGGACCAGTCACATATATAAATATTAAAAGGAGAACTATGAGGTGAGTGCTTTTCACTCACCTCATAGTTCTAGCCGACCTGTGACAATGAGACTGTCACAGGTCGGCTCAGTAGATCGGGAAGTGAGCGAACACATACCGGCGTTCGCTCACCTCTCGATCCTGTCACGGCTCTCTGCTGTGACAGGGGAGGGGCTGGATTCCCCTCTTCCCGCTCCTATCTGCCAGCGCTGACTGGCGGAACGGACGGGGGAGGGGGCGGGTACAGCTGGCTCTGCCTCTAGATAGGCAGAGCCAGCTGTCAGTCACGCAGCTGGGTGGATCCAGGCACAATTGTCGGGATCCGATTCAGCTGCGGCGTCTCAGTATACCGCGAGCTGATTGGCCGGGAGGCCCAGCTCCATGCTCCCTCGTCAAAAGTGTAATGACTCGCAGCCTGGCTTCCTGATACCGAAAGTATCGGGCTCGGCATCGGAGCATTTGGGCGAGTACAAGTACTCGCCCAAATACTCGGCATCTGCACCGATACTAGTATCGGTATCCGTGCATCCCTACCATACACTATCATGGGTCTGGTAATGTCAGGTTTTTTTTTTTTTCTTCCTTCATCGCAAGGAGGAAAAAGCTGCACGGACACAGATGTCCCAATAGTGACATCCGTTCTGATCTGTAGGATCCATGCACGTACCCCCCCTAAACGGGTGGTGTAAAAGGGGCCTGTTTATATCCGGTAACCCCCGGGCTCCAGCAAGGTCCAGAAAAACGGATCAGAGATCCAATTTGTTGGACCTGATCGTGCCAGATCAGGAGTAACCGCAAAGTAAACAGACGCCCGTTTGTTTAGATCCGGCTGCCCATACACTAACATGGGTCCGGTAATCAGTAGATGGGGGGGGAGATGGCGGAACTGCGCGGACACGAATGACACAATGGTGACATCCGTTCCGATCAGGAGGGAATCCGTCCATGGATCCTCTCCTGATGGGAACGTGTGAATGGGGACAGTCTGAATATAGGTTCACTTTAGGACAAAAATACAGCATGACTACCAAGCAATTAGCATTTTTAGCATGACGTCAGTAATAGTAGAGGATTTCTTTCGGCACAACGTTCTTCTAAAAAAACTGCTAAAGATATATTTTTGTTTTGCTTGTTCAGACAGATAATAACATGGAAGCATAAATAGGGATAACACACAGAAGATATAGGGACTAGATCATTCTCCCTGGAAAGGGAACACGGGTCCCAGCTTGCAGCTCTCTTTGGATGAGAGTCACGCTGGAACATTTCTGCATAGAGCAACTGACGTCCCGGGACAGCTGAACAAATATTTACCAGCAGATGAGGCTCTTCAAGTGGTTTGCGGAATCCCCTTTACACCAGATGAGGAGGTGCGGCGGATCTAAAATGAAGCAAAAGGAAAACGCAGGCTGTCAGTCAAGCATGAAGAGGGCACAATATCAGGTATAAAAGGCTGCGGATACAGGCCTGCCATCAGTCATACATTCAGAGCCTGACACACGTCACCCTGTACAGGGCAACAAGACAGGCCATGCATTATACATGAAAGAGGAACTTCACCCACATCTTTGAAATGACAACAAACACACCTTTAGAAATGTTCAGCAATGACATTTTACAGACAGATACTACTAGATAATTGCCAGCTTTGTATTCTTTGCATTCCTTATTTTGCTTGTCCTCCCCAGTCTTCTCACAGTGGTCATTTTTATTAAAGGAAGATTAATATATCTCGCTTTACTTCCTGGAACTCTGGCACATGTGACTAGGACAGGTGACCATGAACATAATCTCAGGGGAGGAAAATGCCTTTCCCTGAGATCACAAATGAGATTTCCCAACAATGCTCTGCTGATGTAACCTTCCCAGGATGCAATGCTTGGGCACAATTATAACACTTGTGCCCAAGAGGACCAGGAAGTGGATGAACTGTATTTGTAAGTAAATAAAAAAAATAAAAAAAACGATTTAATATGAGCGTGCAGAGCTGCATGCTGATGTGATTTTTAGTGAAAGGAGATAAAGGTTCACTTCAAAGTGACATTAAAGGATATTCCCTACCCAACATTAGTGTAAGGACTTCAAATGATGCCTCTTAATCCGATCATCTTCTTCTTTCCAGTAGTTTTCATATATCCCTCCAGCGCTGGTGCGGGTCTCCGATCCAGCGCCGACTCGTCTGTCCTCCTCTTCTCTGATGTCCCACGGTGTCTGTGCGGGTGAACGCTGCTCCATAGACTTACCTTGTGCCTCCCGGCCGAACATCTGAACTGCGCATGCGCCCGCCCCCCAGGATCCTTTGTGGCCACCCGAAACTCTTCAGATGTTCGGATGGGAGCGTGCGGTAAAGACACAGGTAAGTTTAAACCTGTTTCAAAAGGTTTTTTTGTTTTTTTTAAGTTTTTGCATATAGCTACTGCTTGCTAGCAGTAGCTACATGCAAAAACAGTGAGGGTTTAATAACCCTTTAGGAAAAACATGCCACCAAACACCCACAACCCTTCTCATTGCTTCGTTTCAAACCATATATCAGATGCACAAACACGCAAGTGTTGTCAGGAAGGAAGAACAAGGTGTCAAACGTGCAGAGTGATGACATAAATAAAGGTCATTCACACTTCTGGGCTGCTATTTGGTGGGTTTTTCTTGCTTTTCTTTTTGTGTTATTTTTTTTACATGTCCTTTTCTGTATTTAATAGCTAAAAGCGGCTAACAACAGGATTTAGAAAGCGATCGTGGTACAGAACTTGATGCACTTCAGGTTCCATTGACATGCCGGGCTGTGCAGCTGGCACCCTGTAGTGCATGCACTTACAATGCTCCATCAATGCCCAAACTGCCACTGACCCCCATAGGCGATATTTGTTTTGGGGGTTTTAGGTCATTCTCAAGATTTCTAACTGGTCTGGCAGCGACAAGGGTTAAATTGCTTAATAGTTATTTTCATTTTAATTTGTTACTTTGCAGAGACTCACAATGAGGAGAATGTGTAAGACTTTTCACAAGTCATTGGCGGTTGAATACTCTTTCATCGCTGTAGAAAGGGGACTGCCCTGAGGATACACAGAAATCACAGAGAGATTTCAGCAATGAAGTTGAACCAGTTTATGGGCCTCAGCACCCGCCACTCCCCTGGCCTGCGGTGGTGAAATGCGCACTTTAGTAAATGCTTCTGCTCCCTGGTGCAAGATGTTACTTGCTAGGCCTTACCGCCACTTGCACTTTTGTAGCGGAGGTGTGTACATGTAACCTATACAATGTGGAGGTAGAGGAGTCTCATAGAGGGCTGTGTAGTCACTGGACAGTGACCCCAATACAGGGCAGTCTAGTTACTGGACGGTGACCCCTATACAGGGCAGTCTAGTTACTGGACGGTGACCCCTATACAGGGCAGTCTAGTTACTGGACAGTGACCCCTATACAGGGCAGTCTAGTTACTGGACGGTGACCCCTATACAGGGCAGTCTAGTTACTGGACGGTGACCCCTATACAGGGCAGTCTAGTTACTGGACAGTGACCCCTATACAGGGCAGTCTAGTTACTGGACGGTGACCCCTATACAGGGCAGTCTAGTTACTGGACGGTGACCCCTATACAGGGCAGTCTAGTTACTGGACGGTGACCCCTATACAGGGCAGTCTAGTTACTGGACGGTGACCCCTATACAGGGCAGTCTAGTTACTGGACGGTGACCCCTATACAGGGCAGTCTAGTTACTGGACGGTGACCCCTATACAGGGCAGTCTAGTTACTGGACGGTGACCCCTATACAGGGCAGTCTAGTTACTGGACGGTGACCCCTATATACAGGGCAGTCTAGTTACTGGACGGTGACCCCTATATACAGGGCAGTCTAGTTACTGGACGGTGACCCCTATATACAGGGCAGTCTAGTTACTGGACGGTGACCCCTATATACAGGGCAGTCTAGTTACTGGACGGTGACCCCTATATACAGGGCAGTCTAGTTACTGGACGGTGACCCCTATATACAGGGCAGTCTAGTTACTGGACGGTGACCCCTATATACAGGGCAGTCTAGTTACTGGACGGTGACCCCTATATACAGGGCAGTCTAGTTACTGGACGGTGACCCCTATATACAGGGCAGTCTAGTTACTGGACGGTGACCCCTATATACAGGGCAATCTAGTTACTGGACGATGAACCCTATACAGGGCAGTCTAGTTAAGGACGGTGACCCCTTTACACGGAGGTCTAGTATAGAAGAAGTAAATACGTTTTGAAGACTCCAATGGCTTTAGAAGCAGAACAAACACTTGTGACGTTTACATTTATAAACGCAGAGTTGCATCTTAGATCTAAAAAAGGAAGAATTGTGGAAAGAGGACGAGAGGGATCGAGACTCAGAAGAAGCAAAGCCGGGAGCTCAGCACAACGTATTCTCGACATCTAGGAGGAAGTATGAAGTGTAAACGGAAAACATTCATACGGCTCCACGCTAACTTCCTCTAAGAGAATCATAAAGAGGCTTATTGTTCCGAAACCAGAGACAAAGCAAACATAGTACAAGATAAATACGGGAACTCTTTTACTGCAGAGGATTTGTTACATTGACGTGCATTTTATTTCTCCACAGCAGTAAAGTCCAAAATACCCTTTATAACGTGCTGGATTGCACTGCAGCCTGTTGCATTTTCACCCAGCGCACACCGACACAGATGTCTGTGAAGGTTCTCATTCATCCAGGTCATGGTATATGTGTAAACAAATAAACCAAGGCAACTGGACTTGCTGTATTTTCCTTGAAGACATTTGGCTGGTCATCCAACTAGCTCTCTGAATTGAGAAAGCTGGTCGGATGACCAACGAAACGTCTTCAAGAAAAATACAGCAAGTCCAGTTGCTTTGGTTTATTTGTTTTTAATAGATACACCTATGCAGGGCTTTGGTGTGAACTGGGCCTACTGCAAACAATGGATTTCAGGTTGTTATTTCGTTGGGCCTGCGTTAAGCAATGCAGTCCAATGCACTTTGGTTTTAAATTGACTTGAAAACACACAGCTCACCACAATACCACCTTATGGCCACTAGATGGTGCTGAGGAGTACGTTAGTAACGAGATACAATGTTACAATTCAAGAGGCTGCTGTATTGGGAGACTGCAACAGAGCATATATAGAGACTGCAATGAGCATATAAATGTAATAACTGCTATCCCTGTAGTATCAATGGTTACATTTATATGCTCATTTTCTACAGTAGTCTCTTAAAGGAGAACTATGGGGTCACTAAGGGTAACGGGAGGACACAAACTAGCGTCCTCCCTTCACCCAAAGCTCCGTATACCGCGAGCTACAGCTCGCGGTATACTGAGACGCCGCAGCCGGTATGGATCCCGACAATTCTGTCTGGATCCGCCCAGCTGCGTGAGTGACAGCTGGCTCTGCCTATCTAGAGGCAGAGCCAGCTGTACCCGCCCCCTCCCCGGTCCGTTTCGCCAGTCAGCGTTGGAGGATCGGAGCGGGGGGGATCTCTGCAGGGAGCCGTGAGTGACAGTCACGGCTCTCTGCATGGATAGAACGAGAGGTGAGCGAGCGCCGGTATGTGTTCGCTCACTTCCCGATCTACTGAGCCGACCTGTGACAGTTTCATTGTCACAGGTCGGCTCAGATTATGAGGCTGAGTGAAAATCACTAGCCTCATAATTCTCCTTTAAAGAAGAACTCTGAGCCAAAAAAATAATTAACCCTTGCAGTGATGCTACCCCCACACTGCCAGGGGTAAGTGCTCGTTTTGGTCTAGGGAGGAAAATAAAGTTATACTCATATGATCCTCCGGACTGGCTTGCTCTTAGACTGCTCCCTTCTGCCTCCGCTGCATTGGTCTGAGGTCCCTGAGTCATCATGTTCTATACACAGTGTATAGGACGTGAAGACAGCGAGGGACATTCCATCAATGCAGTGCAAGAGGCCACAGGCAGGAGGGAGCGCTGTCCCAGCCAGCCAGCTTGGAGGATCAGGTGAGTATAACTATTCTTTTCCTCCCTAGACCAAAATGAGCACTTACCCCTTGCAGTGCCAGGGTAACTTATTTCCAATGATCCTCAGCTCCATAATGTGGAATGTTCTCCATTCAGTCCCATCTGTATGGCTATACCTACTAAAGAACATTCGACCAGAAGAGAAATTACATTTGTTTTTTTGCCCCACTCTGACAACATCTGGTTAACTTGCACCGGACTAATGTACATGAAGCTTCAGGCCTTGTTCAAACCAGATGCAGTGCGTTCCGGTCCGATTCTGGCCAGAACGCACTACATCGCATTGTGGCCGGCTCACTATGTTGTGGGGCAGGAGGCGGCGTGGCGGTCCATTCAAGTGACTGGCACCGTAGCCACGCCTTCAGGCCGCAACGCG